AATTATTTTGTTCCTTTAGAAAAGTGTTTCATTTTGTTTTTAGAACTCCTGCAAGACCGACTGCAAAGTAAGGTCTGTTTATCGTTTAACCCTTGTTTGGTGTGAGATTACGCTTTATTTAATCAATACAGCCATGACGACTAATGCAAAGATACTTGATCTCAAATCTAAGCAGTACTGACATACATGGAATTCACCTGTAAGAGCACAGTAATGAAGAAACGTGATACTGGTTTTAGTGACAAAGTGTAATGAAGAAAAATCTATCAGAAAATATGGGTGGAAAAACATTTTTATCCGAAAATATATTATCCAAGATATACATGAGGCAAGCTTCCATTGTTACGTTATTGTAAGCAAGGAAGGAAGGAAGAATAATTTTTCTCTTTCTAAACACTGAAAACACGAACACCGCACAAGGGTTAAAATTATGCCAATTAAACTATATAAATGGATACAGTAGATATCTGGTTTACCATTAACTAAACATTAATTAACGCCAGGAATATAATCTTGTACACTGTCCAATGCATCCTAGCTCGGCGCCTCACAGTCCACAACAAGTAGCTACGTTTAGCCAACGCACATTACAAGCTAGGAATTTAGTAAAACCTAGAAGTAATAAAAGGGAAACTACAACCTATTAAACTGCAATGAGCCACGTTGGATGCAAACATTAAACCCTCTCATTAATCCTTAACAGGCTGCCTGAATATAACGTTACTTTGTCCCACAGCCCTCTGCAGTACATCCATTCATGCAGCTCTGTCCATCACACGCCAACACAAGCCAGCCTCAGCAGTGGCTCCATCTTGGCTAGCTAGCTCGGCTAGCATGCTACAGCAACTCACCGTCCCTCGCTGTTCCCATCAACTGGTCGAGCAAAGCTCTCATTTGAGCTTGGGCAGACATTACTGCGGTTCCTCCGTCGACAGGGTTAGATAAAAGTCAATCAACTTGAAAACGGTTCCTCTGTTTTATCGGCTTATTTGAGAATTTATTTATCCAAGCATCTCCCTTTGCTGCTTCTCCCTCTATTTCTTCAACTCGCCCGTTTCCGTCCAATATCCGGGAAATGACGAAACTATTCTGTAGCCTCGCTAAACCAGGAAGCCCCCAGATTCCGTCTAAATGTGCCAATCGAAACGGCCAAGAACGAGAACAACAACCAATCACAACACGTTGCCTTATAGACCCTGAGCTATGACTATCAGGCAACGGCTTTTCGCCATAGGCATTCATCATGTTGAAGCACCTCTTGCTACAAGCATTACCCAAATTTAGGTAAATTAATCTTAATGTTAAGGTTTATGTTGTTTCGGAGGTTTCAATATTATTTGAATGTGTACATTTTCAATGTGTAGCGCTACCTGTCAGACAAATTCGGGGTACGCGAACCTGTGTAGGACGGTGGGCTTGCCTGTGATTTGTTTACGCAACTGGGGTTGACAGGCAGTTTTGTTAGCCTGTGTCAGGCCTGCTATCTAAAGTTAGCCGCACCAAAGAACGCAGGAGTCGGCGGTGGAGAGTTAAAGTAAGAAAAACCTTATCTGTATCTGCTTAAACTATTGAATTAACCTCAAATCGAGGTCCGCTTTCTGTGGCAATATTACACATAGTCCCTTTTTCCGGGGCTGGCCTTCGTTCAACAAGTTAGCAAACTAATCCACCCAGGTGTTGAGGGTAAACTTTTTTTAAATACCTAATCTCGTTAATATAGATAGCTATCCGGAACTGACTAAGGCGAAGAAAAGACTTTCACGGCACGGTCTCGGGGCGTAAAATAATTTTGTGCGAGTCTGTTTGTAATATACATAAGGAAGTTTGTAGCACACGCCCTTATTTTTCTTTTTTTACGTGTGAGTAATAAGCCTGTTGCTGCAGAACAAATAATATGGTGTGCAATCCTGAGCGATGTTTATTATGGGTCTGCTCTTTTTGTGCTGAGAAGCGTCTGGATCTGTGCTGGCACATCTGAATAAGCAGAGATTCACAAAGGTTGATGCAGCAGAAATAGCTGGACT